GATGTGTGGGCTGTCGAGTCCAGCCTGTGCCGCAGGGGTCTCGTCTGGAGGGGCTGCTGGTGGAGGGGTCCTGAACCGCTCCGTTTTCCTTGGGCTCCAGCCCTGAAGACATGTGCGTGGCACCGGCCCTCGTAACCGCTTCCCTCTCTGGCTTCCCTGCAGTCTCCTTGGCCGCGATGAGCGTGAGAGCGGGGCGGGGCGGCGACGAGGTGCTGGTGTCTCAGGCCGTGTGGGACTACCTGTCGGCGGCGGGCCAGCCCTGGCTGGCGGAGTTTCAGAGCGGCCATGGGCTGAGCGCGGGCGTGGTGCGGCGCGCCGAGAGGGGGGGCTGCTGCACGGTCAAGCTGAGGAGCCCGGGCGGGGAGGGGCCGGGCTCGGGGCCCGCCCCGGTCTCCCCGGCGGCCCGCCGGGCCTTCATGGACCTGTGCCGCAGCGCCCGCAAGGAGATGAACCGGAAGGAGGGGGCCCCCAAGAGGAAGCGCTCCCTGATGCCCTGCCTCGGCGGCGGAGAGGCGGACGGCGAGGGCAGCCTGCTCCCGCCGCAGCCGCGACGCTCCCAGAGGCAGCAGCTGCGGTGCAGGAAAGCCGCGGACCTGGGAGGCGGCCTGTGCGCCCCGGCCCCGCCCCCCCGCGACCTGCTGCCCCGCAGGGAGGCGGAGCTCGGTGGGGGCGGGGCCGGGGGCGGGGCCGGGGGCGGGGCTCTGCCCACCGAGGTGGAGGACGGCGGCGTCTGCTCCATCTGCATGGGGGAGATGGTGGAAAGGACCACTCTGGACCGGTGCGGCCACGCCTTCTGCCGGACCTGCCTGGACCGCGCCTTCCAGGTGAAGCGGGCCTGCCCCGTGTGCCGGCTGGTGTACGGCCAGCTGATCGGCAACCAGCCGGCCAACGGAACCATGACGGTGGAGAGGGATCCCGACCTGGAGCTGCCCGGGCACGAGGGCTACGGCTGCATCTTCATCATCTACAGCTTCCCCCCCGGCACGCAGGCGGTGAGACACGTGGCCCTGCAGGGAAGAGAAACATCACCCGCAGTTAAGGGGGCCCTTTTCAAGAGGGTTGGGCAACCCCAGTCACAGAGAGACACGCCTTCAATGGCTTTTATTGCAGTTTTAACGTACAGTTATTTAATTGAACTAATTCTTTTAATCAGGAAGCAGCATGGTGGCGCAGTGGTTAGCATTGCTGCCTTGGAGAGCTGGGGCCCTGGGTTCGATTCTAGACCTGGGGTGCTATCTCTTTGGAATCTGGTTTCCTCCCACAGTCCACAGGTTAATTGGCTTCTGGGAAAACTGGTCCTGGTGTGAGTGTGTGTGTCTGTGATGGACTGGCGTCCTGACCAGGGTGTACCCTGCCTTGAGCCTGTTGCTTTCTGGGATTGGCTCCGGCTCCCCCTGAGTTGGAAATAATGGTGAGGAAGGAGGCGGCCGGCTGGATGCGTGGAGGTGGTTGGAGTAACGTCCTGTTGCTTTGCGCCCTCTGCAGCAGGAGCACCTGAACCCAGGAGTGCGGTATCCTGGGACGGACCGGGTGGCGTACCTGCCAGACAGTCCTGAGGGCAACCGGGTGCTGGGCCTGCTGAGACGGGCCTTCGAGCAGCGGCTGATCTTCACCATCGGCACCTCCATGACCACGGGCATGAGCAACGTCATCACCTGGAACGACATCCACCACAAGACCTCCGTATGGGGCGGCCCGCGCTGGTAGGGTCTCCACTACCCCCACCCCCCCCCGGCACCCCAGCCCCGCTGCTCTTCCTCCTCCTCACTGACCCTCCATACCCCAGCCC